ATAAGAATATCGAGCTCAAAAGTTAGGCTCTTGTGACTTCTGGAGAATCTTTGACAGTGCCTATAAAAAGGGCAAATATGTTATTCCACCTCTCTTGTATGGTTCAGATTTTGCCACCTCACCCTAAAGACAAAGCTGAATTGTTTGCTAAGAACTTCTCATCAATATCAACTCTTGATTCCACTAGTCGCTTTCTACCTGATAAAGCTGACAAACAGGTTGATCCATTGCTTGAGATTCATATCACTCCAGCTTCTGTATCTAAATTGATTTCCTGCTTAGACTCTACAGCTTGTGGTCCGAAAAACATACCTGTTATAGCCTTGCAGAAGTGTTCTCCGGAGCTGTTGTCTATACTTTCAAAACTATTTAACAAATGTTTATCTGAGTCTTGTTTTCCAGTCTGCTGAAAGCAGCATCTGTTATTCCCATTTTCAAAAGTTCTGGAGAGAGATCTGACTTTTTCAACTACCGTCCCATTAATCTTTTTACTTTTAAGCAAGGTTTTTGAGTTTTTAATTAACAAACACCTTATCTTCCATCTTGAACATAAAATTAAAACTTACTTTCTGATTATCAATATGGATTTGGATATTCTCGTTTTACTGCTGATTTGTTAATGGAAATAACCAATAGGTTTTATTGTGCATTAGATAGATGTGGAGAAGTTAAGATTATCGCTCTCGACATTTTTTAAGCCTTTGATAAAGTTAGGCATGCTGGTCTTCTTCTTAAGCTTTCTTTTTACAGTGCATCAGGTATCATCTTTAAGATTATTAAATCCCTCCTTACCAATCCTAGTATAAAAGTTATCCTTGATGAACAGCACTCTTTTTCATATCCTGTAATTTAAGGAGTTCCTCAAGGTTCTATCTTTGGCCCTATTCTTTTCCTAATTTACATTAATGATCTCCAGGAATTCTCAATTTCTGGTATAAAAGTAACCATTGTTTCCTGATGATACTACCATTTATTCTTGTCTTGATGAGAAAACAAAACTCTCTGATTGTTTGGAGGGGGTCTTTAAGCTTGAAAAGGATCTCTATTATGCTACAACTTGGAGCTCTTAGTGGCTGGTGAACTTTAACTTTTTTTTAGGGGCGGATCTTCCAATGATGCCCTTTCTCTCTTAAACAAAGTCCAAAAACGCATTGTAAACATAGTTGGACATGCTCTTGCAACCAACCTCCAACCATAATCACATCGACGTTATGTTGATTCTCTTTTCTATAAATAATATAATGGGCACTGTTCTAAAGAGCTAGCATTTCTTGTGCTATCTCCTAAAATTCATTCTCATGTTACTCATTATTCAATCAAGTCTCATCCATTTACTAGGATTGTTCCTAAGTGCTCCAAAAATTCTTATTCATCATTGGTTTAGTATTTTTATTAGAACATCAGTTCTTTGGAATTTCCTCTTTTCATCTTGTTTACCTGATTCATACAATTTGCAATCTTTTAAGTCGCCTGTTAATCCTTATCTTGCTCAATAAACTTCATCAGGCCTTGTGATAAAGCGTCGGGCGATATGAATTTTACGTCGTCCAAGAGCGATTTTGCGTGTAGCTAGGGCTATTTGCGTCGAGCAAAAAATTTTTTGTTTGAGTATATTTAAAGATATTTTTGAGCGGAATTTTAATGAAGTAATTTACGATTATTTTAACATTTAATAAAGTATTTTAAAAACCGCACGCAGTTGATATAAAAGTTTGAATTACAAAAAAATTAAATATGCTTTTCATTTACAAGTAGAAAAAATTCAAATTAAAAAAAAGTTTAAATCTTTTTAAGCTAACATTTTAATAAAATTATTCAGCAATAGCAAAGTTGTCAATAAAATTAAACAAAAATACTTGCTTTTAGTTTTAGATTTTTAACTTAAATAATTATTTAACGGGGGTTTGTTAGGTTTTAAAATTATTCCATAGATGTAAAAATATTTATTAACTGTTAGACGTATTTAAAGTATTTAAGAGTAATTTCGAGGAAACATTTTAAAAATTGGTAAGCGCAAATAAAAAAAAAAAAAAGGATTAATATTAAAATGTATTCTACTTGATTCAATAAAAAAGTACAGTTATTAAAATTTTTGTAAAAAGTAACTCAAAAAAAATTACTTGAATAATAACAATTGCTTTTTTTTTTAATGTTTACAAAAGTTGTAAACATTAAAAATCTATTCAAAACGTTCGTTAAAGTTTTTTAGTAATACAAGTGATTGTGCTTATCAACCGCTTTATGAAAATAAATAAAAATAAATAAATAAAAAAATATTATATGAAACCGCTGGTAAAAATATTAGCTATAGAACAATTTTTAATCGTACAATATTAAAATTTTCAGTTTATTACTTGCTAAATTTTTAAAAAGAAAAAATAATTATTTGAAAAACTTTAAATTTCATATTTGACAAAAAAAAAAAAAAAATCAAATATTAGCAATTTTTATTCATCACAAGGCCTGCTTCATCTTTTCTCTTCCAGTAACTTGTAACTCTAATAGTAATTAATTGCAGCCTTGTTGGAAGTGAAGATGTTGAAAAAAAGAAAAAAAAAGAGAGGCTGAGCCAGCTGATCAACCACAACCAGAAGAATTAACCTTAAACTTCAACTTTTAAAGCCAAAAAAAAAAAACTTAATCTTCTTAAGATCCATCTGTCTCAAAAATTAAAAAAATTAAAAAAATTGTGTTGTAACTTATCTTATGATAAAATCAATTTTGAAATTGATACAGCCACAAGTAAATTATATATATCTGCTTCTAGTAAAAAATTTTGATTATAGACATCTTTAATAAATAAACTTTTGTTGTTTTTATATATTTTTTGACTTTTTCGACCTGTGTTATCATAAATCTTTGAATGGCAAAACATAACCAGCAGCTAGTAGGGTAGTATTTTGTTAATTAACAGATTGATGTGTGTAAGTCTGTCTTGTATGCATAGTTACATGTAGTCAAAAAAAAGGAAAATAACTCCAACACACACCTGGAACCAGTACTACATTTTATGGTAGCTCAAGTTGTGTACAGTGGAATTACAAGAACTACAAAAAAGAAAAACAACTGATGATGGAGGATTGAGTTAATGGAGGTTGAATAAGCAGCAAATCTAATCTTTCTTTTTAATTAATCAATATATTGACATATATTGATTAATTATGATAGAAACATTAATAGAAAAACTGAAATGAATTAAAATAGAATAGTATTTAAGAATGGTATAAAAATAATGTGTAACAACAAAGTCATATAAATATTAAACCAAATATTTAGCGCAACTCACAATATCTACAAAACTAACTTAAACAATGCATTAAGTTATTGAAAATATTTTATTTGAATGCTCAAATATAGACCAAAATACCATCCCATCTAATTTACATTATATGGGATAGTATTATATAATAATGTAATGTATATTAAACAAGTATATAGCTGAGAATATCAAACGATTGTATGCCATTATTAAAGAGAACTCTAATGCAATACATGATACAATTGAAGCCCTGACATAAATTGATTAAAATGATTAAATTTCCAATAGAATGTTTCTTTTAAAACTCTTTTTAAAAAAGACAACAAGCATCACATCAGATACCTCACAAATTAACCAAATAATAGAATAGATTTGAGACATATTAGGAACAATTACTTCTATTCAGATAGCAATATATGAGGATAGAGAATGAGTTGTGGTTTAATTTGTCACAAATCAGACACAAGTCAGCATTCGCTAATTGAGTTAAAGATTATGAATATGCAAGAACAATAGTAAAACATATTTGTAAGAAAAACTTGTTCGACATCTTCTTTAAAACGAAGGTGTCATTTATTTAGCATATATCTTGAAAACGATAACAGCATTATTGGTCAAAACTAAGTCAATTATTTAAAACCTCAAAATAAATCAGCAAAGGTTGTAACAGAGATTCAAAATTTATTAGTTCATAGTTTTAAAAATATTTTAATTGATAACATAAAAATACTCCGTTCCAACTTAAAAAAGTGAACATTAAAAAGACAAAGAAAGCTAATTTGGCTTAACAAAGCAAAGAACTAAAAAAAATGCATGGTCACTCAATGTAATAATTTATCTGAAATTCAAAATAATGCTGATTATGTAGCTGCAAAGCTAAAAAATGAAGAACAACTTGAAGAAAATAAAAAAGTTTATCAAACAGTAGAGTACACAATCAAAGTAGTATAACATTTAGATTAATATTCTAGAGCCCAAAAATTGTGTTGAACAACATTTAACTTTATAACTTAATGACCTTATTCTCTCCAGAAGATCTAAAACACAGTAAGTTTTTAGATTTTCAAAGAAGTTACTGTACTTTAATAATTAATAATATAACAATAATTATATTATTAATTTTAATATACATTTTGTATTCCAGATTACACAAAATTGTGCAGAGTTATTCTAAATGCTACATTTGAACAAAAATACTGAAATTTTTAAGTCACTATGTTGTGGTTTTTCTAGGCAATATCATAAGCCAAGATTATTCAAAACATGCCATATTTAGATGAATATTTTTTTGGGGTTGTGCTATAATTAAATCATTAACAATCATTATTAACTATTTATTACAATTTTTAAACTGTGTTTGTACATAGTAGGGAATAATTAAAAACAATAATTGAAATAATCAAGCATAAAAAGGTAATACTTTCAATACCAATATAAACTAGTTCCGTATCAGAGAGAGGGAGAGAAAGCAAGGGAAAGGGAAAGGGAAAGAGAAAGACAGAGATATAATTACAATCAGTAATTCCATTAATCAACCGTAACAAGTTAATATTTACACTACCCGTTACACTGGCTAAAGTATTATTTTAAACTTTTTTGTGAAAAATATTATTTTTATTGCGAATAAATAAGAAAAATATCATAAATTTTTACTTAATTTTTTCTCATTATATTCTTAAATTATATATTATACCTGATAATTATATGTGAAATTATATCTGATAATTATATGTGAACCTACCTCTCTAGGTGTGCCAAAAGTTAGGGATAAACTATCACTAGGACCAACATCAGCATATGATCTTCTAGATTTAGTAACTGATTGTAAAATTCGAATATTAAATTTATTCAAAACTGATCTTCTTAAAAATAGAGCCATTGGTCACTACAAAAAAGTTTAAATTAGAGTTTATGTGTCTATCTAAACCAGTAGCGACTCGGCGTAAAACCATGAAACCCTAAGTGTTTAATTATACGGAATCCGATTTCAGTTGAGAATGCCATTAGGCGTAAAATCTCGCAAGAGCAAGTGGTGAATACTAGTGAATCTTCAGATCAACTAGTATTGTGCTTGCGAAATAAAAAAATGCTCTCCCTCCTTCAAATGGCTTTACTTTAAATATTGACGGTAAAAAAAAGAGAAAAACTATTTAGGAAAAATATTTAGTATTTTTCCTTAAATAGTTTTTTTTACTACACCTTTTCAAGATGTAAATGAGAACATGAAAGTTGTAATTAAGAAGTCGTAATATGTAATTAAGAAACACAACATGTAATTGAGAAAACGTTATATGTAATTGAGAAACACAACATGTAAATAAGAAGTCGTAACATGTAATTAAGAAACACAACATGTAATTGAGAAAACGTAAGATATAATTGAGAAATCATAATATGTAATTGAGAAATCGTAACTTGTAATTGAGAACACATAAATTAAAATAGCAAATTCACAGTCTAAGTTTGTAGGTTGTTACAAAAGGTCTTTTTGGACATGAATTTAAGTTATAATCTTAAATTTTGCTTTTGTATGCGCAAGTAATAATAATGGAATTGAAAGATCGTTGTGTTATATGCCAATACACTATGACCCGAAAGTCTGTGATTAAGCTAAATCCGTGTCAACATTTATGTCACCAAATTTGTTTACGTCCAGTTCTGGAGCAACCAGATTCAAGCTGTCCGATTAGTCGGCATGAAATACACACAACTGAAAGTTTCAACAAGTTGAAAGGAAACGTTACGTTTTATCTTCTCCAAATGACAGGAGAAGAGTTGTTGAATGTGCGGAGCGATTTGAAGATTGGGTGAATCTCGCGCAAACGCTAGGTATCAAATATAAGACAGCATACAATTGGGTTCGCAGCGGAAATTCAAATTTCTTTGGAAAAGGAGGTTTTAAACCGAAAAAGTTGACCGAAGATCAAATCGAAGAAACATTAACATGGATTGAAAATGATTGTCAATTAACATTGGTGGCCATCAAAACAAAGATATTAAGGCAATTTAACATAAACGTTAGCACAACAACAATAGCAAATTACCTCGAAGGCAGATTGTTCTCATTAAAAAAAGTGCACAAGGAGCCTTCTACAATGAACAGTCATGAAAACAAACAAAAAAGAGCTGAATATGTTAGAAACATCAACGAACATATCACAAATGGTCGTCAGATAGTTTGGTTGGATGAAACAAATTTTAACCTTTTTTGTAGAAAAACGCAAGGACGCGCGAGACAAGGAAAAAGAGCAATTATGAAAGTACCTGCTTCAAAAGGTTTAAACATACACTTGATCGCAGCTATTTCAACTACAAATGTCGTCATGATAGAAACTCGCAGGGGATCATTTAAAGCAGATTCCTGTAACGAGTGGATGTTGGCTATGTTTCACCAGTGGGTTACATCCGGGAATCGGTTGGAGGATTTGGTCGTCGTAACAGATAATGCTCCTTGTCACGCTCGTTTGCAAAGGGTGTTTGATAATTCACCAGCTCAGTTGTTACGTTTGGGACCTTACAGTCTAATGTTGAACCCGGTGGAAACGATCTGTTCCAAAATTAAAAGTAACGTTAAAAATGCAATTCGCATTCCACCTGTATTAGGTGACGGGATTGCGGAACAGCGCATGCAGTAGTTAGAACGAATTGCAATTGAGGCGAAAAATACTATAATGGGAGGAGATTGTGCACGTGCGGTACAACACACAACCACGCACTATGCAACTATTTTAAATATGGAAGACGTACAAGTTGGTGCTTAAATGATCAATGAAGTGATTTTTAATTATATAATTTTTAATTATAATTTTTAATAGAATTATAAATTTTTCCCTAAAATGTTTTTAGTGTTTATTATGTTAAATTCATTTGCCCAAAAATTATAAATTTTTCCCTAAATTTTTCCCTAAAAAATTAAATTTACGCTACAAATCTTGCGTCATTTTTAAGTGCGTCATTTTATACGCTCCATTTTTTTACGCGCCATTTTTTTTAAGCGCCATTTTACACTTACTCCTTTAAAGCGATATCTAAATTAAAATTTTCGTGTTCTCAATTACATCTTTCTATTTCTTAATTACAACTTACATTTTCTCAATTACATGTTACGATTCTTAATTACAATTTTCGTTTTCTAAATTACACCTTATGTTTCTTAATTACAACTTACGTTTTCTCAATTACATCTTACGTTTCTTAATTACAACTTTTGTTTTCTCAATTACATCTTACGATTCTTAATTACAATTTTTGTTTTCTCAATTACATCTTGAAAAGGTGTAGTATTTTTCCGATCACTTAGAATACAAGTTTTAAATTTTCTTTAAAATTCAAAGAGTTTTTTACTTTTAAATCCGTTTATTTAAAGTAAAGAAGTAAACATTTATAGTGAACACTGTATGTTAGGGAGGGATAAACATACTGAAGACTTTTAATCTACTCCTACTTTAAAATAGATTGACTATTTTACAAAAAGATTAATAAGATAATAATTGAACTTTATTGAATATTAAGCTTGACTACCCTGCTGAATAATAGGCTATATTTTATTTTGTTAATATATCAATTTCACAATCTTTTTAAATTAAACATAAGACATTGACGTTGTTTTCCAGTTAATAAACAAAGTTAATAAACCAAAAACTAACAAAAAATATATTTTAGTTTTTTCCATTGTTTATTTTCAAAGGTATAAATTAATCTATTAGTTGCATCATATTATTTAACCGAAACCCCCCTCAAAAATTAAGTAGAAAAAGTATACAGAAAAAATGAGCATTTATTTTAAGAGCCGTTTTATGTAAGAATCAGGCAAATTCTTGAAGCTGTGGAAGTGACTTCCTCCAAATGCTTGAAATTTTTATATATTGATCAGAATATAGAGAAAACCTGTTGGGGAAAAATAAAAGGTTTCAAAAATGTTTTGTTCACTTGGAATACGGGTTTAAAATTTTGAGATTTTTGAAAAATTTTTCAGAAATTTAGTTTTTGTCACCTTTAAATCCATTTTTCTGCGTAACCCAAAAGTTCTCTCTAAAAAATATAAAAAAGTTGCGTGTCACTGTGCGGTTGGCTAATTATCATAATTCAGAGTACAAAAACATTCACATTTATCAATTTTTAATGGGAGTTTTTTCTAAAGTGTTGCACAAGATTTTTTTTTCAGGATTTGTAAGTATGCAGGTATTGAGTCTAAAAATGCAAAGAAAGTTGTGTGATACCGGGTCTATTCACATATTAAGGCTTGAAACTGAAAAAAAAATGTTACAGTGTACTAACAAAATGACCCATTACGGCAGAGGCGCTAAGTTTTGTAAAAACGTAAGCATGTCCAAATGTCAATACAACATGGTCCTAACATAAAAATAAAAAAAACTCGTATGATTTAGTCATACACACGATATAAAATGAGTTAAAAATTGAACAATAATGGAACAGCAAGAAAACTACATTGCTAATTAAATGAAACATAAATCAAACATTGAAATGTATTTCCATTTAAAAATTAGTTGTTCATTCAGAAATAGAGTCATTTACACACATGAAACAAATTATCCACCACATTACACATATATTTTACTCTGCTGCAGTAAGTTTCTCTAAGAATATGACTGTCTTCTTTGGATATTGAATAATCACCACAACCATTGATTAGAAAAGGAGTATCTACTAAACAGATAATATTTTCAGTTTGGTCGTTTATCTCCTCGGGAGTAATTGGTCAGCGAAAAGTATTCTTCTTTTGCCAGTTATTTATACAATTAACTTTGATCCCAGTTATAGATACCTAAAAGTATTAGCGCATTATTTTAAAATAATATAGTATAGAATTTATGATTTGTTTAATTTTGTTTACATTCAGTAAAACTTATAAAGCCTAATATAATATCTTTCTCAAGTTATTTTCAAATTTTATTTATATCGCTTTTATTTTAGAGCACTGTTTTGTAAAACAAAACAAAAACTTGAAAACTAATATATGCTTTGAGTAATATTACCTCCCATGGTCTACTTATATTACATTATATAATAATGTAATTTAAGTAGGCCATGTACCTCCACAGTATATCTAATATTCCATTGTTTTTCATATACAATAGCAACCCAATCATTCACTTTCCATTCAAGACAAACTTTTTCTTTAATAAGTTTTTTAAGCAAACATATTTGCTTTTTAACTTATCTTTAGTAGTATCATCCAGATATTCAAACTTCCCTTTTAATCTATATTTTATTGGACTTGCATTGAGAACCTCGGTTACACTCTCACGGCTTCTAAGAGATTCGTCCAAAATCTCTTGTGAAACATTAGTTTCACCGGGGTCGAATTCTTTATCTGGAGTAACAGGTGTCATATATGTTTTTCTTGATGTGTTTGTGTTTTTGTACATAAATTGGTGTTTTCATCGACTCTAGATAAGACAGTTTCTTGTTTCGAATTAGTAAAACACAGCATTGCACTAACTAAAAATATTTTATTGTATCGCTTTGACATTGATAAGACGACATGTATTGGTGACACCCTTCAAGCGGGAGATTTTCCTTTTATAATTCGATGGTGAGGATAAAAACATGTTTTTGAAGGACTCCATGCAACACCAAAGGTATACTGGTGAAAAGCACATACTTTTTCATCCTTTTTATACTCCATTTAAGCCTATTTGCAATAAGTCCGTTCTCTTCCCAAACATTATTGTTGTTGGATCACAAGACCTAAAAACAATTTTTTAGGTGTGTTATTTAAAGCATTGTTTATAATCTGATTCTTACTATTCACAAAAAACGTTCACAAGTTTAAATTATACTGTTGTTATTATAAAAAAAGAATTTTGCACGAGTGTGATAAATTTAGTGATTATTTATTAAAAGAGTGGGAAATTAATTAAAAGAGACATTTTTTTTTGTTTAAAAAAGATTTGTCTCATAATCTTACTGCTGAGTAGTTTATAAAGTATGTAATTATAAAAATTATATTACAGTCTGCTTACTTTTGAAACATTACATTTAAGTTGAATAGATGTTTCTTGACATCAACATCTCCCAGCTGATAAATGTAGTGTTTTATGTTTTTTGAATGATCCACAATTTCCTTTTAAAAAACAATAACAGTTTTCATAAAAAACTTTGTTTTGTTCCATACTCAACTAAATACAAAATCTATTTATGCAGTCCCTATTTCTCAATAACAATGATAAAATATCTACTCTATTTATGCAAATTTTAAAGATCGTTAAAAAATAGTTAAGACATTTTGATGGCAAAATAAATTGTTTTTTAAAAATTGCCCACTAACTAGTTTTTCAATAATCATGATATTCTTCGTTCCGTTCAATCACCACAAGTTATTTGCTTATGACGTAAATTTAAATAACTCACTTCTAATTGTATATTGTATTTTATTATTATTTATTTTAATTGTTATGATTTCTATATCATAGTCAGAAACGCTTAAACTTTTTCCTTACATTACGTACAATGTTTTCTGCAATGCTAATAGCTATTTTTGGAAGATAAAAATTTTATCGTGCTGCTGAGTGAAAATTGTCCCAGGAAATATCTCTTCGTACTTAATCATTTTTAACACTTTGCACCTTTAATTGTAACTTAAGATGATCACATGATTTTTTTTTTTAGTTATGATAGGGTCATGTTATATTGACAATTTAACATGATTATATTTTTACAAAACTTAGCGCCTCTGCCGTAATGGATCATTTTGTAAGTATACTATAGCATTTTTTTTCAATTTTAAGCGATAATATATAAATAGACCTCAGGTATCGCATAACTTTCTTTGCATTTTTAGACGTAATACCTACGATACTTACAAATCCTGAAAGAAAAATCTTGTGCAACACTTCTGATTCTTACAAAAAATGATTCTTAACGAAGTTATGGCGTTGCTAAAAAACTCCTTAAAATAACCGATAAACCTTTTCTTCATTTCGTAAAGGAATTGAACGAGGGTGTTGAAGTTTTGAAGTTCGTCTTTTTAACAACTCGGTCAAGTAAGAAAAAAGATAACTTGATTCAGTAAAATAGTTTTCAAAAAAAAGTAAATAAATAAATAAAAAAATAAAAACATAAAAAAAATGACAAGCAATTATTTTCATTTTATATTTTGGAAAGAATTTAAATGATCTATATTTTTTGAAAGCAATATTAAGTAAAAGGAGCGTAAGCAAATTATTTGCAAACTAATTTTATGCAAAATCCAGCATGTAACTGCGGATAATTTTAAGTAAAATATGAGAAACGTATTTTTATGCGTGTGTTTGTTAGCCAAAGTTGTTGTAAGCATGTTTTATAAAGTTATATGATTAATATTATTGAAGGTTTAGAAACCTAATAAAAAGGAATGCTAGCGAAGCAATAGACAGTTATGAAAACGATCAGGTGAACAAAAAAACTTATGTCAAAAAATGATAAGTATTATCAAAGAGGTAATAATTAAGTTATTAAACAAAATGAAGAAGTTAACCTTGCAAAAAAAACTTGTCTCATATAAAAAGTGAATGATTCAGCCGCTGTTGTAGTTGAAAAGCAGTGATAAATTTGATATACTGTAAAGATAATCCTGTTGCCATAGAGATGATTGATTTAGACTGAAGCTCCTTCACTTTTAGATAAGGTGTAAAAACAAAGTAAAAATGTTCTTGAATTTGCTCTAGCTACTAATTTTGAGCCTCTTTCCAATTGTTGAAAAGTTGCATTATTTTCTATAAGTATTACCATGGTGGATGCTCAAGAAGGCTATTATAACTTGTTCGATCAACTAAAAATCAATTTTGCGTGACTTGCTATTCAGCCAAGTTGCATCCTTTTTCTATAACTGTTCTTTCAATAACTTTAACATGATTTATAAAATTATGATAAGAAATAATTAGTCACCTTGAGAAAATTAGTTAGTGAGGGCCCAGACAATAACACAAATATTTTCACATGCGGTAGATTTTCTGGTTGCTAATCTAACAGTTGCTGGACGGTTGAGACTCGCATACAGCTATAAAAAAAGTAAAAACCAAGTAGGATAAGATAAACTTACTATGAACAAATATATTATTAAAATGATGCAGGAGGTTGTATATAAAGTTTTAAAATGTGATCCAGCAAAAAATGTTTAGAATGTCAAACCAAATGCATCTTAATAGTATGGTGTGATTTAAGTTCGATGGATAAAGAACTGTAGTTATGCAAGGTGACCAAAAAAAGAAAGATGCAACATGACTCCAACCAAAATCTGACGCTATGCACATCAACATAGTTGAACTGGATGCATGTATTAAAGGCTTGAATATCGTATTGAAATGGAACCTGATTGGTTTCTCAACCAAAACTGCGTCTCTCGACTATTCAGTTGGATAAGTCTGAATAAAATTACAAAAAACCTGTAAAGTGGGCTGGACAATACAAAACGTTAATTTAACAAAGGCTGAAGATATTCGGAAAATTGATTGAGGATTGTCATAGACGCAAATGTTTTATAGGTGTCAACTACCAAAAATATCGCTGATGAACCAACGAGAATGCCACAAAATAGATAAAAAGCAATGTTGCAACGCAAGAATGCAACTCTATTTTTAAGTGTGATAATCAACATATTTGACAAATTCATTTAATAGCACATATAGGAGTTTAAAAGAGAATAGAGTTATGTAAGCGTGCTGGTATAATCGTTAACAGAGGCATAGTAAATAGCTTGTCACAGAATGTAATACATGTAGCTCGATTGTTCCTAATGTGATTTAGTTGGATAAAGAAAATCTTGCTATTAGTAAAGTATGGAATAGAGTAGCCTGAGATATTACTAATGTTGAATCATTGTTATATTTCATCTGAATTGATTGTGGCCTTAGCAGGTACATTTTATAAACACCATTAAGTGACGAAAGCGCATAAATGGTTATTCAGACATCAGAAACGAGATGATCATCACTTGAACCTCCTTATGAAGTTTTTCAAGATAATTCCAAATTATTTAGATTACAGATTAAGCCAGACATGGTTTTAAAATCGGAAACAAAGCTTATCTAGCTGTTATAAAGCCATTAACAAAGCTTATCGAGCTGTTAAAAAGCCATTGCAAAATGGAATTGTTAAAAGAGTCATCGGATGGTAAAAAAACAAATGCGAGAGTATTTGTTTTTTTTACCATCTAATGAAATCTTTCAAATGTAATTTATCTATGTACAAATGTAATATACCGATGTATTAATGTAACATACCCATGTCTGCATTCTTAATCAATAAAGTTCCATCAAAACACCTTTTGAAATCTTTTGTCAATATTTCAAGCATAATTCTTGGAATCGATAAATTCGAATCAACACAAAAGTTTGACAGAGTTTTAAGAAAATTGTCAATGAAGTGTTGGTGAAACCCAATCATTTGACGACGTGCACACAACAGTGGTTGCATAAAAGTATAATACTACGGTACTTTATAGTTGTTTGACACTTCATTGTTGTGTAGACAAAAAAGACCTAACAACAAATGAAAATCACAGAACACCATTCAAAAGGAAGTTCACGCCTCCTTTCATACCGATTTTATAAGACTTGCACAGAGGTGGCGTTGAACCATGGATCTCTAGTTTCTGTGGCAAATGCGCTAACCACTGCACTACGGATACTCTAAATTTGGCACTAATCAAACCTTCCAAATTTAACACTTGTCAACTATGATGGTCTAAATTTTCAAATATTATTTGGATGATAGCAAAGTTGAAAACAGTAAAAGCAATATCCGAATCCGAATCCAAAAGATCCGAGGTTCAAACCCCACCTCTGGGCAAGTTTTGCGACATCGGTTGGGAAGGAGGCGTGAACTTCCCATTAAATGCTCTTCCGTGGTGCTCTGTGATAAAACCGTAAGGACTTCTTGGGGCACCTTAATCAACTTATTAAAAAAAAAAAAAAAAAAAAATAATGATCAAAACTTTAAATGAAATTTATCTAAATGGGTTAGACACCTCTTTTAACCTAATTTTTACCCAAAGGGGTTAGACCACCGGTTTGATCATCTCGCTATAGAAAAAGAGTAACCTAACCTAACCGAAAGTTAGGTAGTACTCTTCTTAACTATCGGTTAGAAAGTACTGAGTAAGTATGAGCTCTAATTGCTAATTATTGACAAAAGTCACAAGCTGTATTTTTTTAAATATTGTTACATTTTATAGAATGATCATAAATTTATGAAAAAATTCACAAGATGCATTTTTAAATGATATATTTAGCAAATAGTTTTTGAAACAAGACGAAGTTGTTTATAAGGATTGGCTTTTAAACGAACATTAATTGTTCAAAAACGTTGAACAATAAATTCAGTTGACTCTCAATATCTCGACTAATCGATATCTCGAACCTTTGTGCATCTCAAACTTTATTTGGATCTTTGAACCTAAAGTTACGTGTTAAAATTAAAAACATGCGCACTACAACCAAAACAAACATTACTTTTAAAAATGGCGTATCAATCTTTCCAACAAGAGTATATGCAAATTCCTGTTGTTACGAGAGCATATACAACAGCATGTGTTGTGACAACAGTAGCAGTTGTAAGCACTTAATTAAATTTTTTTTTATAAAGATTTATAAAAAGAAAATATTTACCAATCAACTAGATTTATAAAAGTAGAGCTAAACCGTTCTCACTCACAATAATTTATTGTTTTTTTTACATATAAAGCATACGGTGAATGCTTTATTGAATAAAGCATTTACGATATGCTTTATATGTAAAAAAACATAAATGAACTTTCTTAAATCATATAATTTGATTATTTATTATTTGAATAATTAAATATTGTAAAACTTATTTGAATTGATTATTTATTTGAATAATTAAATATTGTAAAATTAACTTGAATGAAAGCAATCAGAAATTAATATAACATTGAAAAAAATAACAAAAAATAAAGTAAAACAACCTGTCGTCGTCCTTAGTTAAATGCGATTGTAAAAATGGGTATAATCTCACTGCTAGCCTTAGCCCAGAAAGCTATTTTTTTTTTTTTTGTACTTTATTAGTTGGTTTATTTTTTATAAATTAAAGTAGTATTATATAAAGTTTTTTAAAGTGACCTATAAGTTTGCGTATTGTCTTTTAAAAAAGTTTTCTTAACTTTGTAAAAAACAATCTCTAACTAGCCAGGCATACTTGAATTGGTTTGGAGTTTTTCTGAACTTGGTTCTGTTTAACCTAGTTCTTTTCTTTAAACATGTTTTATTATAACATTCATAACATTTTCCCTATAAAAAAAAAAAAAAAAAAAAAAAAAAAAAAAAATCAAAATTAAATTAACTTATAAATGGATAATAAAAGTAATGAGTTTATGAGTTTCTAATGAATTACTATAAGAAGGAATAAATACAAAGTTGGGTTGTTCAAAAAAAGAAGCAAATTTTCTTCCATCACTCAATCCTATATAACTTTAAAAAAATCATGGTTACTGAAGAAAAAAGTTTATTATTTTAAAATAATATGTTTTTGTTTTCCATAGTATTAAGAAGAAAAAAGCTTTTGGTTTTTGCACGAGCTATGCATTAAAGTATCTTATTAAATACAAAATTTGGTTTTATGCTTGTCACTGCTTTTAAAAGTTTTTACTGCTTTTAAAAATAGTTTATATTTTGTTATTATAATAAAATGCAGACAATTTAAGAATTTTTTTTTTCAAAAAGCTGATGTTCAAATTCCAAAAAACTGATGTTCAAGGAAAAAAAGTAGACAAATAAGAGTTTTTGGAGCACTCTTTAGAGCAGTGCCCATTATAGTATTTGAAGGTTTGCTGCAAGAGCAGGTTCAACTATGTTCACAATGTGTTTTTGCACCTTGTCTAAAAGAGAAGGGACATCATTAGAAGGTCCGCCCCAGATATGGCAACAGTATTCCATACAAGGCCGGATTTGAGATTTATAGAGATAGAGAATAGAATCCAGAGTAAGAAAGTATCGAGCTCGATAAAGAGATGCAACTTTAGCAGATGCTAGTTTTGCAACAGATTTAATATATGGTTTCCAAGAAAGATCAGAAGTAAGAGTTAATCCTAGAAGATGAAGGAAAGCTGACTCATCAAGTACATTACCGTTCATAAATATAGGAAGGTCTAAATTATTGTGATAACGATTGGCTGAAAAAAATTGAGTTTTATCTGAATTAAAGTTCATCAGCCACTGTGAGCCCCATGCTGTAGCAGAAGTGAGATCCTTTTCAAGCTCAGATGCCTCCTGCAAGCAATCAGAGGGAGTTGGCTTCTTATCATGACAAGAATAAATGGTAGTATCATCAGCAAACAATGCCACCTTAGATGTGAGAAAATCTGGAAGATCATTAATGTAAATTTAAAAGAGTATAGGGCCAAAGATTGAACCTTGAGGAACCCCTGATGTTACAGAATAAGAGTGCTGTCCATCAATGACAACTTTTATAATTCGATTGGAAAGGAAGGGTTCAATAATCTTAAAGATGTTACCAGATACACAGTAAGAAGAAAGCTTATAGAGAAGACCAACATGCCAAACTTTATCAAACGCTTTAGAAATGTCAAGAGCGATGGCCTTAACCTCTCCACGATTATATAATGCACGATAAAACCTATCGGTTATTACTGTTAGCAAATCAGTCGTATTACAAGAAGATCGAAATCCATATTGATGATCAGAAAGTAAGTTATTAGATTCAAGATGAGAGATTAAGTGTTTGTTAATTAAAGATTCAAAAGCCCTGGTTATGATAGGAAGAAGACTAATGTGATGGTAGTTCGACGAATCGGATCACTTTCCAGAATTTTTAAAAATAGGGATAACAGATGGAAAACAAGACTCTGATAAGCACTTTTTGAATGGTTTTGAAAGGATACACGACAGCTCGGAAGAACACTTTTGCAAGACTATAACAGGAATATTGTCCAGGCCGCAAGCTGTAGAAGAGTCTAAGCAGGAAATTACTTTAGATACAGAAGCTGGAGTGATACGAATGTCAAGCAATTTATCAACCTGTTTGAAAGCTATATCAGGTAGAAAATAACTAGTGAAATCAAGAGATGACATTGATGAAAAGTTCTTATCAAACCATTCAGCTTTGTCTTTAGGTGAGGTGGCAAAATCTGAACCATACAAAAGATGTGGAATTACAGACTTACCCTTATTATTGATACTATTAAAGATTCTCCAGAAGTCACGAGAGCCTAATTTTTGTGATGAAATACAAGATTTCATGACCTGAGAATAGCGGGCTTTGGCATTATTCAAAACCTTTTTATAATGGTTCCTAGTAGTAATAAACAGATGTCTGTTTTCTGGAGAATTATTTTGCTTATAGATATGAAAGTAATGGTGAATAAAGAAATTCGATTGGCAATTGCAGCAGCACAATGCGATGAAAACTATGGGGAATAGTGAGGCTTGGCCTGGAATCATTGAAAAGGAATAAAGGACTCCATGCCAGCCTAAATCCACGAAGTTATGTAAGAAGCACATTTGTCAACAGGAAGACGAAAGATTTCTACCCAAGGTCCATAACGAAGAAAATCACGGAAAGAGTCCCAGTCAGCTTTAAGGTAGTTGTAAGATGTATGATGATTCAGAACTATTATATCGTTCTTCTTTATTATCAGAATCCCCCTATTCTGATGATAAAGAAGAACGATATAATAGTTTTAGAGAGATGAAACTGTGATCAGAGGCACCTAAGGGTGAATGTGGAAAAACTGAGCACTGACTAGGATCAGAAATAACACATAAGTCGAGTAGTGAAGGTAAATGATTCTGAAGGTCTGGAAAGCGAATTGGAAAGTTGACTATTTGAGTTGGGGATTGAGAAAGGCAAAAGTGTGGGTTTTAATGCCTGTGGAGTCACTGACACGAGCCAAGCCATTCAGTGTGATGAACATTTAAGTCACCAACAACAACAATATTGGCTGATGGATAAAGAGAGAGGGCTTGGTCATTATGATCAGAAATAACATCAAGAAGAGTGCAGTCTTGAGATGAAGGAGAGTGATATAGAACAAAGAGAAAGGTGATAGAGTGAAGTGGTGCTAAGAGTAGTCTGAGGATTCAAACCTAGTTTCCTGACAGATGGGTGAGTTCTTACGAAAGTAAATGCCCAGGCCAAGCATGTGATTATTGGAGTCTTTAAGAATTAAAGGATCATTAACACTAAGATCACAAGATGAGACAGCTGAACCCAAATTAGTCTCACAAAAAGCAAGTAGGTCTGGTGATTTTTGCAAGAGATAAGACTCAACAGAAGAAAAGTTACTTTGAAGACCATGAATATTAGTGAATGATAGGTTTAGCGAACTGGATGATGACTGTGGTTTTTTGTGTTATATAGTTTTTGTTACTTTATTTATTTTCAAATTTTTTAAAGAACTTGACTCGAAACATAGATAGTACTCAGTATACTATTACACTGTTTATTAGCCTAAGCAATTGCATCATTACTCTTAATAAACCCTAAGCTCTAACAAAGGGCTTCAATGTGGCCTTGGCAACGCACACTAAAAGTACAAACAGGGACACCATCCTTGTGTAATATGGCACTGTTAATACTTTGATATTTTTCAGCTGTTGATGGAATCAGCCTCTTAGAGAGCTACCACAGAGTTTGGGAAACCTGACTTTTAGCCGGCCTCAGAATCATAAAACTGAGTTTTAGAGCTGTACCCTCATTAGGTGATAGAATGAGTTGCCTTGTCATAAAAACAGAGACACAAGCAAAACCCATGCATCGAGTCAAGAAGATCCAGCATTCAACATCCTAAACTGGAAACAATGTATAAAGAATACATCTGTGCCAGCCTAACAGATGAAGAAAGGTTGTGAGGCTGGTCAACAGATAAAATCTGTTTACCCCTTAAATTATTACCACAACTAAAAATTCTACAATAAAAGTGAATATATTGAAATGTCTAAGTAATTATTAATCTAAATATATTAAAGTAATTATTATATATTAAATCTATCATTCATTACATAAAGTAAAAATTGTTATGCAATACTTTAGACTGTATTAATTTCATTTTTTATCAGTTAAATAATTTTATATTTTATTAATATAATTTAGAGTGTAATAATTTTATATTTATCAGTAGTCCAATCTAATCAAAAACATTTGCATCAACCGTGCTTTTTAAAAGCATTGCAGTTTATTATGCAATTAATTTTTTTTTTTAAACATGACTTTGTGTTTTTCATTTTAGTTACAATAATAATTATACTTTTAAGTGAAAAAGTTGTACTTTTGCGAGAGCCGTAAATTGCTTCAGTAAACTGTTTTAAGGGAGTGTGGGTGAGAGCAAGAGTTAAAGCTCTTACTTCCAGCTTAGGCCTGACCTGGTACTTAAAAGAAGTAGAGTTGTATAAAAATTTAAAAAAAATTTTCATAAAAAATTTACTAGTTTTATAGATTTTATTTCACAAAAACTCTGGTTTTTGCATTTCATAAAAAAAATAACTTTTTTTACTTGAGACATTTTGATGAAAATAAAATAAGCCACTTCTTATTTTTTATTTTCATTTTTTTTTGAGAACCAGGTTGACTTTTGAAGAA